GTTAGTAGAGATTCAGTGTGTGCAATAACTGAAGATGTAAATATTCTGTCCATGTCTAAGATATGAAAAGTGAAATGTTAAATGCTCAGTCAGTTATATATTAAATAATCATTTCTATATCTTCCTAACGAAGATTACGATAATATGAAACCAAGTGAAGAATTTAGTGTTTAATATTTTCAAGATTATCGAGGAAATGGCTTAAAAAAAAACAAATGTCAAAGACTACCTTCCACTATTAGAAAAACATCGATCAATATTATAAATTACTTACTCGTTAACCAATATCTGGGGCAGGGCAGAAGGAAGTGATATTTAACCAGAAAATTGTACCAAAGTGAATATAACAAACCTGACTGGAATTGAAAGTCGGTTATACGATTAATAATCCGACCCTTCATCCATTATATCACCCGCACATCTAAGTTTAAAATCACTGTTTCCAAGCATTTGACCATCTAGGAAATGGGTACTCTTGACGTTGCTTAATTTCGGTAATTGTATGAGAACTAGTGTTTGAAATTGATATGACTGCAAGTCTAGAGTTGAAAGAATGTTACATCAAGAATAAATGTTCAATTAAAAATATGTGATTAATAATATTTATTAGACGCCGAAAATTTTGTATTCAACGGCTTATATCAAATAATTCAATGTCGTATTATCAAATGAGAAAATAGAGACTAATTCTTCTAAAGTCTTGGAGTAATTTATTTGCACATGAATTACAAAGAACCACTGCTTTCAATAATGTCCCTGTACGAAGTTTCTTTTTTGATATAGCCATTAAATCATGTATCATGACGGACGCTCTAATGCGAACATTTCATGGTGTTTCAGTGTCAATCTGAGGAATGTGCATACTATTCAGAAAGATGTAGATGAGTCTAATGTTGATTACGAAGTTGTTTGGAGTGATCACTAATGATGGCGATGTTATGCCTTCATTCATCTTCCTCCAGGCACTCAGACTAAACACGGAGGACTACATTAAGGGCATTGAGGAATTACTGCTGTCGTGGGTCAAGAGATTGACTGCTGAAGACCCTATGTCTGGGTACAGAAGTCTGCACCATTTCACAAATGCACCAGGACCTAGCCATAGCTGTCAGACAATTTCTACAACAATATGTGGACACATAACAGCCCAAACTGATACACACTCGATATGTGGGGCGCAGTTGGGCGGAAGATCAAGAAACTACTTTGTAGGACGGAAGACGAACTGAAGGCAAAGATTTTGGCTACATTCACCAACGTAAACAAGGAGATATTCTATAAAAGATGCAGAAGATTCTGAAGTTGTCTGAAATCCGTGGTGGAAGCCACAGGTTTCAACCGAAAAAAAAAATGAAGGACAGCATTTTCATCACGACAATCAACTCAGTATTACACGACTTTGAAAAGAATATAGCAGGAGATGTAAAACGAGTTTAAAAAAATATATAGCGAAATTACGTTGGAGAAAAAGAAATTGATCGATTTCCATCCGAAGTTAACGCTATGTATCTGGTGGAATTGTAGTTTTTTGTCTGTATTCGCTTAAAGTAAAAAATTAATGAATATCATCTGATACAATTCATTCATAATAGTGTTGCCTTTCATCACAGCAACGTCAGACCTAACGTCGCTTTGCTGACATAGCAGAAGTTAGTACGACTTGTGTGGAATATAGACCTCGAACCACGCTAAGAGCTTGAAAGTGAAATATTTAGAATTTTTCAGTTTTCTGTGGGTTTTGAAAACCAGTTCTCAATACACAGTAGTATTTTTTAGTTCCAAAAGATGGCAATTTCTGTGTCGCGTTGAATACATGTTTTTAAATAATAATAGTGAAATAATAGTAAAATACAACATAACACACACACATATATATATATATATATATATATATATATATATATATATATATATATATATATATATATATATATATATATATAGAGAGAGAGAGAGAGAGAGAGAAAGAGAGAGAAAGAACCACATTAATAGATTGGTACTGAAATTTAGAATTTCTTTTAATTCAGTTTGATAAAACATTCTCAGCTTGTTTATGCAATATTGCACTACCGAAGTTAAGTTTTTATTATTCAGTGTAAAATACTTTAATTTTAATTTAGATTCGACACAGATTTAGTGAAACACGCTAGTAGCATTTTGAATGAAATTTGCACATCTAGACAATCTTTAGTAGAAAATAAAGTGTGATCATACATATTAATCTTACCTTGAGTATATTTACAACAGAAACACGTAATAATATTAAATAATTTATTGACAATTCATTATTTGGCAACACGAGCGGCAAGTCGACGGATAACTTCGCAAAATATATTAGTCAAGAAATTTGTCAATTTTTTAACATAGCAGGTTTTACTACCACTGCTGCAGAATCGATGGTCGCCAAAAATCTATCTTTCGACCTAAATTGGAGTCCATCTGCAAAAAAACATATTGTTAAATGATGGACCAAAGATTTTCGATAGGGATGAGACCCGGAGTGGCAGGTTGATACAGCCTAAACATTTCATCTTGTATGCCGTAAGAGAGCTCTAGGAATGCTTGGTGGAATTTGGCATAGTAGGAGAGTGCTTTGTCAAGCATTAATACTAGAGTCTCTAAATGTTACAAACATATGTGATCTAGCCATGGAAACAAGACTTCCTTCAGCAGATGTCAGTAAAGGGCCGCAATCACTTTGAATACTTCAGGTACCATGACTGTGTCATTTACGTCTGATTCTTTTAATACTATCATACACCCTGTTTTTGTCGCTGGAAACGCTAACTCTCATCCCCGTACAAACCGAAACAGTAGGTCCGTCTATAGTCGACTTGGTTTCTTCAGTGAACAAAACACAATTTATGTACAACGTCCTGTAATTCTGAAACCACTAAAATCTCAATTTCGTGTGGCTGAGAATTACAGGAGGCAGCTTCAAGGGACCTCGCTCAAATGCCATTGTCCCGATGGTAATTATCGGTATATGAGCATGTTCACCGTCAATAGAAATAGTTTTCCTTGTTTGTCTGGATTTCCCACGTAACTTTCAGATAATATTGCTTAAGTCCGTAGCTGGCACAGTTTTGGTGGTTCCACAATCGAATCCTTTCTTCCTTGGAGAATGATCCCTCAGGAATAATTTAACCGTGCCCACATGACGACCAAGCTTCTCCCCAATGGCATGAAGCGATGTGCCTTCATCGATTTCCTTGATGATGACAGACTTTTCTTCATCTTTGAGTCATTTTCAACGTTTTATTGTTCTTAGAGGGGAGAGACGCTGTTAGCGTGGTTCAGCCCAAACTCTAAAAATACACCCGAAGATCATATTCACCCAAGAACATAATCTTAGCGAACTGCCATTCTAGTAAGTATATCTAGGAATGGCAGTTCGCTAAAATTATGTTCTTGGATGAATTCTTTGGATAGAAATATTAAGGACTACATTATCACAGATATCTACCACAAGCCACCAGACGCCCAACAAAATCTTCATTTCAAGAGCTGTCATCCGTAAAGCTATTTAAATTCAATCCCCAGCAAGGTTTTCTGAAAACCCCACCGATTAGAATTATCTAAAACTCTAAAAAAATAGGTCACCCATACGAATAAGAAATCTAGACATACTTAACAAAAATGATGAAAATAAAGACATATTAGAAACAATCAAAATAATTAAAGGAAAACTCCATAACAACCCCCCCCTCAAAAAAATGAAACACACACTGGCCTCATTCAAATTTTATCAGAACATAATGCAATGGGTCAAAAATGCAACAAGAAAACATGAGAGGTATTTGATAGCATTATAGAAAGAAAGTTTTTGGACTTTCCTTCTATAATTTCAAAACCCCACAAAGATATTAACGATAAAGACAAATTTAAACTAAAAAAATAAAAGGGTTTTACGCACTCAGGTGCGCAAAATACAACAAATCATATGTAGGTATGGCTTAAGCAATAACAACAGTTTTCATACACAAATTACCAGACACCAAAAACACATTTCACAACACATTCACAAATGCAGCAAAGACATTCATACTCAAATGTCCTTAAGGACACATGGCACGGTTGATAAAGGCGTTGGTTTGATGCAGTGATAGGACCCAAATAGTTGTGAGTTCAATACCTGGTTAAGGCAATGGAAATCTTAGAGAGGGGAATTAACAGGAAATAACTGCTTACTGACATCCATTAGAGACATGACACGTGGAACTAAAACAGTCTACCCCAGCGAGCTAAATAAAGGTTTCAATTCGATATTCCAACCACCTGAAGAGGGCCAGAGCCTACAACGGCCGAAATGTTCTGCTAAATATGGCAACAGAGATTCGGCCAATAGTCCGAATAATTTAAATAGTGTACATAATAACACAATAACTCATCACAGAAATATATATATATATATATATATATATATATATATATATACGGTCTCAAATCCACACCTAAATTTATTATAAAATCTATATCAATGCTTATATTTTAGAAGCATTCTGCATTTTAAAATAAAATACTTGCAGAAACGTAACGATACTAAGCCCAAAGACATTGCTAGACTTAGTGGCGACAAAGATTAACCAGAATGTATCTTTTCCTTCTCTTTTGATCAATGTGTTGACAGCATGTTTTACACGGATAGATTCCAGATAGGAAAAGTTGAATCACTTTAAACTAAACTTTCTCTGACCCTGCAATAAGAGAGGAGGTCGATTGCCTCATTTTGGAAAAAGTTCGTATTTGAAAATTGAGCACGTGAAAAGAAAAAAAAAGGAAACAAATAGTGAAACGAATACGTTAGTCTTGTCCAGGCCTTAGCATCGGACGGACGTGTTTGCGAAAAACACAAGATTTTGTCCACGCCTAAAGGCCGAACGGACGAGTTCGCGAAAATACGAGAAAGAGAATACATCTTCGAATGGAATAGATGGACACGTTTGCTATGAACGAAAAAGATTCGGTTGGCTATGCTAAAGAAAATTCCCTCTTCGAACCTCCAACGGACGACCGCACGCAAGCGCGTGTAACGAAAGGAATATTTGAATTTTGAGAAAATAAACTACGACGTATACGGATACCGCTACATCGGGGCGAAAGAGAGATAGAAAACAGCTTCGATTTATCCGTCACCCAAGTTGCGAGACCAAACGCTTATAGAAAAAGAATAGAAGAAAGGAAGAAAAGATCTTAAAATATTATTGGAAAAGGAAAGAAAGTAGGAAAGGATCTCAAAGGAGAATTTTGCCACACCGAGATGAAGGAGAGGGAGAAAGACAGCAATTTCAATTTCATCGTCACCCAAGCCCCTAAACAAAGGACGAAAGGGAAAAGAAAGAAAATACCACATCAAACGATAATGCTGCCACACCGAAACGAATGAAAGAGAAAAAGCAGTTTCAACTTAATAGTCACCCAAGTCCCTAAACAGGACGAAAAGAGAAAGTGAGGAAGTAAGAAAAGACCTCAAATGGGGACGCTTATAAAAAGAAATAGAAAAAAAAGAGATATAAGAGACATTAGTGGAAAAGATAAGTTCGTTGTTTTTCTAATGCTTCATCTTTGTTTAAATGTACTTCTTTTTCATGTTTGTACTTTCCTGCAAGTTTCCTTTCAGAGTGTTTGTGTGTCAATCTGAGGACAGTTCAGAGGATTCAGAAGGGCTTGAATTATATAACCATTCAATATCGTGATCACTACTGATCTCCAGGTTATACCGTCACTCTCCACAAGCCTCAGATTCAACACCACTTTCATTATGAACCTTAAGCAGGTAGTTTTGTCCTGGTCCAAGAAGGTGACTGGCAAAATGTCAATACCCCATGCCACATAAGCATGTAGACACTTTCCTGTCTATCAGTAAATTCCTGCGACCCCACCATCACTTTCATCTTGCCAACTAACTCCCAGACTTCAATCCATGGTTCCTCATGGTTGGTCAAATACACTTGAAATATTATATCTATTTATATTTATTTTAATATTCTCAAATTCACCGATGCATATTCTTATCAAAATTTTAAAGAAGGAGTCGCAGATTACTTATTTTCCCCCAAGTACTTTCAATCTCATCCAAGGTTTTCTTCGAGTCGGATTTCCTAAGACGAAAACTAATCGTATATATTAACTATAGTGTATGTGTGTGTTTTAGTTTGTGTGTGTCTAAGCAACTGCTCCGCTCTCAATGATCCGATTTCAATGAATCATAGCTCATTTAAAACCGTAGAAAAATTAGGTGCAGGGAATTATTTTTGTTGAGGTCAGATTCAGTGTTGCCAGATCATGCGAGGTTAAAAATGCATATTAATATATTATACTACCCATTATCGTTGTTTTCATCGTTCACGGGAAGTAACTATTGTTTTTCTTTTGTATCCAGCTAGCTTAAAATTTTATGTTAGCTAAATTTTTTATCTAGCTTAAAAGCCGCATTATGTGGGAGACTCTTTATTTGGCAACAATAAACTACAGAAGAACTGATCGCCGCATTTAAGTATTGAATTAATGTTTAAGCTTTCCTTTTAAAAGTTCAACGATAATTCTTCCGCTGCCATTTAATTTAAAGACGATTTGTGATACATAGAATTCTTATTTTCCGTACAATTATTTGTATTTTATAGGTGACAGAACAGGGCGCGATTTATAAGATCAAATTAATATAGATTGCGCATCCTCGGGCTGTTGTTCCTCAGAATTGGGCACCTCGCAGCATAATTGTCCTCAATTGCGACACTGTCTTTTGACGGAGCCGCCACTGAGCGCACTCTGCACAAAGATATAGACGCAACTAAATAAATAAACCTGTTGCAAAAGTTACAATCGTAGTAATTGTTTTTACTACGTTACTAAAAATCGAAAACTAAAAAGAATAATTAGAAATATATAAAATAAAAATAAATAAAATGCAAGTAAATAAATTAATCGAAATAAAAAAAATAAACAAACAAGCCACTCCTGATAACATAACCGTTACAATGGACTACCTACAATGCAAGACTGACCCATATAAATAAATAAATAACCGAGAAAAAAAACAAACTCTGACACATGTGGACTTATGATTGCGTAAAGCATGAAACAGTCTGTCCCCTTTGAGTGTTATATTCAATGTTTATACACACACACACACACACACACACACACACACACACACACACATATATATATATATATATATATATATATATATATATATATATATATGAAAAGATTACATAACAGTTAAATATCAATTTTATCGCGACATCGGTGGTTCTTAATAAAATTTCCAATCTTCAAGTGTTCAGTTATTGAATCGTATTTCCAATTTATTCACTTTACTCCGCATCTTATTCAAACTGCTTACTTACTCCGTTTTTTACACCTGCGTATTTATGTATTAAACAGTTTTTGACACTAGCATTTTCATGAAATATTGCTTTTGTTTATGTCTTTAATTTTTTCAGCTGTAGATTTTTCTTTCAGTTCATCTGCTTTTATGTAAATCTTTTCTACCGTGTTGCTGTTATTCGATACAATTACTTTATATTTTATATTATTAGTTAAACCTTTACTATCAAGCGGACATTAATTTTTATTTCGACAATTACAATTATTATTATTACTATTTTTCAGGTGTGGGTTATTATTATTGATATTGTTATTTCTTAATATTTTTTTATGATGTTTATTTATTATTCTCTCTCTCTTATTCATAAAATTATAACTGTTTTTATTGTGTTTTTGTTAAGTTTACTATTCTTTGAGAATTTTTTTCTCAATTAATTTAAAGAATATCTTGCCTATTTTTATTTTTATTACATTATAATCAGGCGGGTTAAACCAGATTAAGTTTCGGTTTCTTTTCTGTTTGTGTGTATTGTTTTTAGTTATGTATTCTAAATTAGTCGAATAACCATTTGTTCTTAATTCTGATCCATATATTTTCTATTTTCCTTCAGTATTTTATATTGCTAGAATTATTTGCAATTCTTTTGTTAATAATGATTGTTATATGTTTAAATATATATGTAAACATATATAGTATGATTTGAATTTTTTTAATATATAATGGATTATGATTTGCTTTCCGGTATGGTTTGTATGTACTATCATTTAAATTAAATTTTATATCTATTTTTAGTTTAGATTGTATGTCTATTTTAAATCCTAAATTATTAAATATTTTCTATTATTTGTTTTCTCATATTTTATCAAATAAACCGACCATACAAAAATCAAAGAAAGGCAGGTAGAGGTTGATTTTCTTTTTTACAGGTTATATATAGCCAGAAGTTAGCTGTAGATTGTAAGAATATTGAGACAATAATGATTTACTGATACAAATTCTACTCTAGCTGGGGGTAAGAGATGTATTGATACCTCTTCCAAGGGAATTTGCGCTTAAGGGAATATAACCAACAGGACTGAAACCGGGCTTATATTTAGAATTAGGCGACTTTATCAATTATACCAGCAGCGTATTCTCACCTTACAGCTTCGGTCACCCATCTAGGTACTGACTAGGCTCGGCTTTGCTTAACTTCAACAGATCTTTGAATGTGTTATGACCATATGCAGAAAGCTTACGATAATCGGGAATATGATCCCAAAATCTGCCATGTTGTGACTCTCATTATAACTTAAACCTGAAAAGTGATGACTTAGACAAATATCAGAATCTTTTATTTCTACAGAAATTGGAAGTCGTTTATACAACTAACAATCTGATCCGTCATCCATTATACCAACCGCGCATCATTGCTTAGAGCACTGTTTCCAAGCATTTACCCATCTAAGAACAGGCCACTCTTGACGTTGCTTATCATTGGTAATTGATATATTAACTAGTGTTTCAACTTGATATGATCGAAAGAGAAAAGACGAAAGAATTTTATATCAATAATAAATGTTCAATTAAAAATATGTGATTAATAATATTTATTAGACGCCGAAACTCGTGTATTGAACGGTTTATTTCAAATATTTCAATGTTGTATTATCTAATGAGAAAATACACACTAAAACTTCTAAAATGTTGGAATAATTTGATGTTTACTACAAGGTTTTGATGTATATTTGCACATGAATCACAGCAAATTGGCGAGAAGGCTAATATGTGCGAACTGGAAACGAGAAAGTGTAAATTTAAACTTGGTCATTTCTGGCCAGTGAAATATGGGTCATTTCAGAAACCAAATTACAGCTTGCATAATTAGTGTTTTTTAGATGTTGTTTTTGCAACATCAATAATCTGTATGCTTCATTCACGAAGGAATAGGATAAATAATAATTCCGTAGTTAACTGAGGCTGTAATTGAATATTTGGGAAAGTACATTGAATATATTATTTGTTTTAAGAGTATCTATAACTTTTAGTAATGCACAGGCATCTCTATAATAAGCGAATGTCAAATGTTTCAGCAGATATATATATTTTTTTATATGTTAAATAAATCATTTTGTAAATGAGTGTACTACTCTAGTAACGAAAATAAATACTGCTTTCAATTATGTCTCTGTACGATATTTCGTTTTTGATATAGCCATTAAATCATGTATCAAAAAATGCTAATTTTTATTTTGTTATTTTGATTAAGAATTGTGTTGCCTTGTGCATTATGTTTGAAGATGACGTCCATTTCAAGATATCTTCATTGCATTACCAAGAACTTGCCGAATGGACTAAGATAAAGGGAAACGTATCAGAAAACTGAAGTACGGCTTCAATTTTCTCCACGGGTAGAAAATTTCTATAGCCTTATTCCACATAGATTAAAATCCAACATACAAGGACACATCTACTGGCATGTTACTACGCAGATATATTGCAGGGTGAGTGCAATTTTCGTTACATACACACACAAAAATATTCAAAATGTATGCCAATTTCATACTTATTGGTCAGAACATTTAAGTAGTTCAAATATAAATGTACATATGCGAAAAATTGTCTTTAACATTATATTCATCTTCTGAATTCAGACATATTTAGAGAACCGTGGTTTATTAAAGACATTTTTATTTATGTTTAACGTTGATAGCAAGAATATTCCAATTAAAATTTTCATGAACACTAATATATTAGTACATTGTGTATATTTTGTTAAGAGATAAAATTAAAAGATATATTATGGTGATGCAATTCAACATTTAAATGACCTTACCACAAAATATCATGTCGTGATAAGATTAATCTAAAGTTACAAGAAATCCTAGACCCGAGTTAAAAATTGCTTGCACGTTGTAACATACAAGACTGAACATTCGAGTAACATAATACAGTATGCTTTGCGTAAAATGTCATCATTTTCTATTTTAATTTGCGCATGCGTGTTATTTGTTTTTGATCTTGTCGACAACACCGTATAT